TTAATTTAGCCCTAAATTTGATTAGGAGAGCCAGTGTAGTGGAGTGGTTTGAGTGTTAGGCCACAACTCTGTAGATCAGGGTTATATATCATGGAAACCCACTGGGTGACCTTCAGTGGGTTACACACGCTCAGCCTCAGAAAACCTTGTGACAGGGTCACCTGAGGGATGTCATAAGACAGAAATGACTTGAAGGCACACAACAACAAATTTAATCAATTGCTGAATAGTAAGTCAACACTTATCTAAATCTAATGGATTCAATAGGTTTAGTCTAATTGGGATTAGGTATTGGATACAAGCCTAAAGCTACAATCTTATATACATTTATCCAAGAGTATACCATGTGTACTTACATACATTTAAACTAGACATGAGGAAATGGAAACAGTAAAAGAATTCTCATATCTGGAATCAAACATTGATCAGAACAGGGACTGCAGCCAGAAAATCAGGAGAAGATTAAGAATAAGGAGGGTGGCTATGAAGGAACTAGAAAAGATTCTAAAATGCAAAGACATACAAATCAGCACAAAAGTCAGAATCATACAAGCCATCGTATTCTCTATTACCATGTATGGATGTGACAGCTAGACAGTTAAGAAAGATGATAGGAAGAAAATCAACACATTTGAGATGTGGTTCTGGAGAAGAGTGCTGAGGATTCCATGGACAGCCAAAAGGACAAACAAATGGGTCCTAGAGCAGATCAAACCGGAAACCTCCCTTGAAGCCAAGATGACAAGACTTAGACTGTTGTACTTTGGACACATCATGAGAAGGCATGAATGGCTGAAAAAGACAATAATGTTAGGAAAGATGGAAGGAAGTAGAAAGAGAGGAAGGCCACATGCTAGATGGATGGACTTTATTAAAGAGACCATGAGTATGAGTTTGCAGGAGCTGGGAAGAGCAATAGAGGACAGGGGGACCTGGAGATGTCTCATCCATAGGGTCACCATAGGTCGAGACTGATGCGAAGGCACTTAACAACAACAACAACAACAACAACAACATGTCAAACTTTCCACCTCCAGTGAGACCTAGACTTGCTTTCAGTAAGACTGAATTTAAAGTCCACATTTGACCAAATATGGTTGTCTCCCATTTTGTTAAGTTCCTCAAAGTAGTCTTTTACATATCTTTATAGCATCAGTCACAGAAATAATACTCAGCATTATAGTGGGCCCTTGATATTGACTGGAGTTTGGTTTCTGGAAACCTCATGAATACCAAAATCCATGGATGATCAAGTCTTATTAAATACAATGGC